GGCGGCCTAAAAGGGGTTCGGGGGTAATTATCGACGACTTTTGTAACAATACAGATGAAGACAAGAAAATTACTTGCATTAGAAGGCGGACTACATTTTATCTTTTCTAAAAATTCAAGGAATTATCCGTGTAAGTTACCACAGTAGCAATTTCCTATCATTGCACAACAGGAGAAACTGACGTGGAAGAAAGCACGCTACCTTAATACGAAAATTCAATCACAAAAGCGAATATTTACAATTATGCATACAACATTTCAATTTTATTCAAACGCCATTTTGGTGGGAAATCGCTAATTAAACAAAAGTGTATGCAATCCTCTAACAGCCAAGTTAGAATGAAATTGCATATCTGCGTTTTGGTAATAGCAGATTTAAATACAGCTCCTGCAAGCTCTTGAAGAGTCCTCCAATCAAAACACGTCCCTCCAAAAAACCATGCTTCTTGATAAATTTTCGATCGGGAAGATACTAGTGCACTAATGCACGGACTGTCCTACACAATTCCAAACAAGGGAACAATAACTGTTAAAGCTTGTAAAGTTAACGAATATTTGACGATTTACTGACATTTCTATTCATCATTTTCTGCTTAAAGGCATAAACAGACAAATAGCATCTAAAATACCCACGTTAACATCCCCACCCCGAAAAATTCTTTCCAAATGTTTAAAACACCGTAAGACACATTTATAGGTTTGCTGTATGGGAATCCGACAAGCCACTACGTTAGAACCACATACTGATTCTAAACCGTACAGAAAGAGGGTGAAACACAGTTAAAATCCAGGGTAGCTTGTAGTTACCGAGCAGCCATCACGCATAACAGGGCCAGAGGTTTTCGTTAACAAAATCCACACAAGCTCGACAATTTATGTAAAAAATTAAAGGAAAGTATCATTCCTTTTTTTTAAATAAGCTAAAAATATTAAATAACGTTTTAAACGAATATCTACATTAAAAGCACTAAAGCATCATTTTTATAAATCGGGGTGACAATAGCAATGTTTGGAAGATCTTCAGCAAGATGATTTCACAAGAGAACCTTTAGTCAGAATCAAGCAACTGACAAGCACTATGCTGTCTCAACTTTAATTCTTTTCATGCCTCATACCTAATACCGCAAAAGCATCGATTTGACACACATTTTTGCGCATGTCAATTTTGCACCACATGCCAATGTGAAAAGAAGATTGTGTGTCCGAACAGTAGACGAGCCTGCATTTACACAAGAAATTTGTGACAATTTGGTACCATTCCGAACCAATCCCAATTTTTTTAGAAAGAATTATTGATACTTGACCGCATCCACGTTCAGCGGTTCTGAAATCACTTCGGAAAAATGGGGGTACCTGGGCGCATGACGTAGCAGGTGAAACTCCAGTGTCTAAAAACCAGACTCAATTGTTGTTTGGAACAGATAAACCCGTTGCTAGCCCACCCGTACCTATTTTAGTACCGTTCCAAATTCAACCGGTCTCGAGTGAACACAGTCGGAAACGCGGAAATTTATTTCCTTCAATTGAGCTGCATTGTCATATTTTTATAGATCAGGTAACCAGTGGTGGCGCCAGAGGGGGGGCAGGGGGGGCTACAGCCCCCCCGTCGGAGGAGGCTAGCCCCTCCGTCGGAAGATAAATTATGCTTGAATTTTTTTTGTCGGAGCGAATTTTTTAAGTTTTGGCGGAAATAGAAATTTCTAAAAGGACTGTTATCAGAATTCAGGAAGCTCATCCCAAAACAACTCATCGACACATCAATTTCATGGTAAATAATAATCTGTTATAAGAAGTTTGAATTGGTTGTTTAGATGTTCAGTACCAGGTGTTTTCCGCATGCTGTTAAATTTGATCTTATGTTATGGATAGTGCAGTTCGTCCAAATCTTGCTTGCTATAACCAACCTACAACATCGGAATATTTTTGTGCGATAGCGATATGGCAACAAATGTTACCCGTTTCAGTGTTAGATGTAGTATATGTAATGACGTATTTAACAATGATTACGCTGCCCGCCACACGAAGTCCAAGCACAAAGATTTGGCTGCAATGGGAAGGACTGCTCCTACGACGGCAATAGTTGAAACGGACTCGCAGCAGAGAAAAATAAAAACATTTTTTCAATCAAAAGGCGGTACTTTTCCAAAGAAACGAAAGGTTAATGATTTTGAAACTGAAAGAACAACAGAAGACCCCGAAGAACAAGAAGTTGAAATTTCGAAAATTCAAGACGAAGAGCAAATCGAACGTGGTATGTTATACGTTTTAATATTTAAGTCCTTTTAATACGAGGAAAAACACTTAGCAAAGGGCTTCAGCCATAAAAACAATCAAACTCATTTACGTAGTAGCTAAGCCATTTTACCCCATCCCAACCATACATATTTGTAGTGTTTTGCTTCTACGTACACGTTTTTTTATTTATAAGAAACTTGACTCAAGCCCAGAGTACTAATAGTTTCCAAATTTCTTATTTTTTACTATTTTTAAGGGAAACCATCTATTACTATTTACGATAAATCCTTCTAGTTTTTTTTATAAACAAGTTCCTTATTAAGAAAAAAACGTGTATTTTTATAGGAAACCTAGCTCTCCAGAAATTAAAAGTTTCTTATTTTCGGACCTATATAATATGGGATTTCACTGCGACTGCGACATATTTAAACAAATATACCTGGCTATGACTGGATGAGGAATAAACCTTGTTAGACGTATAAATTTCTTCGTTTTATTTACAAATAAAAATAATTTTTTGGATGATTTTGATATTAAGAGTCACAAAAGATTGATTAGTAAAAATGCCTTTTTGTCCATCTCCCAGGAGATATTATAATCTTTTTCACACATGTAAAACAGGGTAGTAAATCATTTGTTTAAACTTCCAGGTACAACTTCTAGCTTGGACCCCGAAGTCACGAATGTAGATGCTGACAACTACGTCACCATTTCGGAAGCCGAACAGTCGATGTCGGACATTGTGGAAGCAGCAAATGAAAGCGACAGCAACGAGGATATCGAGGAAAATTTGGAACAGTTGGAACTCGAGTTGGAAGATGAAGTTGATCCTGCAGGATTATCAGCCGAAGGTATACTAACTAGCTATCAGATATAATCGTAACTCTCCATTAACCAGCGGCGTAGGGGGGTACTAAAAAGTGGAAGGGCGCGTGAAAAAAGGGCACCTTGGTATGTAATTAAGACGAAGGCAAACCCTGCTAGAAGGGCACGGGGGCATGCTCGCCCGGAAAAGTTTTGCATATAAGCAGCCACTTTGGCTCCCATAGCCTCTTTCGCACTAAAGCTCAAAGAAAAGTCTAAAACAATGAAAAGAGGCACTTCTCAGATATAAAATAGGGCACTGCCAAGAACTTAACAGGAAAAAAGTTTGCAAAGTGTGATGGATAATTTTTTTCGTTTTAGCACTTCAAGGAGATTCGAGAGGACCGCAACTTACACTATCCGTCGCTGGCCCCAAGGACATATCCTCAACCAAAGACGGCGGACCTGTGCAGCCTCGTAATATTTCCTTCCCTACACATTTGATTGGCAATCAGCATCGCGCATTCACACCTTTGCTGTATGAAAAGTATCCCTGGATTGAGTATTCGCAAATGGAGGATGCCATCTTCTGTTTCCACTGTCGTAATTTTTCAGAGAATCGGAAGGATCCAGCGTTTGTTAGTCAAGGCTTGCGCAATTGGAAAAGATGCTATGGCACCAAAGTGAATGATAACAAACTCTTGCAACATCAAACCAGCCATCTTCATGCCCAAAGTGTAGCTGCTAAAGCGCACTATGAAAACGTTAAGTCTGGAAATTTTCAGACCATTGCCACACTTCATGATGCCGCTTATTCGAAACTGGTTAAAGACAACAGGCATTACATGCGAGTGATTTGCGAAGTCCTGCTTCTCACTGCTCAGCGGAAGATTGCCCAACGTGAGACTGGAGGTTCATTTCGTGTTGCCGATATAAATAAAGAAGCTCTAGACTATGGACCTTCTTGTGGTAATTTTCTTGCGATACTTGGTCTTCTTGCAAGGCATGACCCAGTTGTTGCTGACAAAATCCGCACTGGCCCGAAAAATGCAAAGTATACTCACCACAGCGTACAGAATGCCATCTTAGACATTATGAAAGACATGGTTCTTGAGCAAATAAAAAGTGAGCTCAATAAGGCTCAGTATTTTACCGTCCTTTCAGATGAGTCTAAAGATAGAAGCAAAAAAGAGCAGCTTGTTGTTGCAGTCCGTTACTGCTACGAGAATGCCATACATGAGGAATTTATTGGCATTGCTGAGGCGCAAAGTTTAGATGCAGATGGTCTTTCAGACACAATAATTGAACGATTGCAACGCATCGAAGCCAACATGAAAGCATGCGTGGGGCAAGGCTACGATGGAGCTTCTGTTGTTTCTGGTCACCTGAATGGCGTTCAAAGGAAACTTCCTCTGAAAACCGGTGCTGAAATGGCTTACTACGTCCATTGCTTTTGTCATCGATTGAACCTTGTGATCGTCGATGTTGTGAAATCAATCAGTTGTGTGGCAGACATGATATCGCTATTCAGAAGCCTGCATTCTTTTCTGAGCAGCAGCACCGTTCATGTACGATGGGTAAAGGTCCAAGAGGATCACAAGGTTCATGTGATGGAAATTGGAAAAGTTTCTGACACGAGATGGTCTTGCCAGGCGAAGCAATTCAATGTTTTCTGGGAGCGGTTGGATATCTTGGTGGAAGTCCTGCAGGATGTGATTGACACAGATACGAACCCCGGTCGCAGAACAGAAGCTACTGGTTATCTTCTGCAGATTGACAGGAAATTTGTGAGATACCTGTTTGCCATCCGACACGTCTTGAACAAAGCCAAATTTGCGTCTGACATGTTGCAGAAACCCTCCAATGATTTGAGTCAAGCCATTGATCTCATTGCAACATTGAAAGATGAACTGGATGACTGTCAAAGCAGGGATAAGATTCAAGAGTTCTGGGATACTGCCGAAGAAGCAGCGGATCGCTTGGAATTGCCGGAAGAAAAAAGACCACCAAGAAAGAGGGCAACGCCTGCTTCTCTTCGAGAGTTTGTTGTGGAAGCATCTTCAGAGCCTCAAGTAGCAAGCGGGTTTGATGGCTACGTACAAAATGTCAAAGAAATACTAAACAGAACAACTGCAGAACTTTGCAAGCGGTTTGACGAAAAAAACATAAAGATCATGAAAGGCATAACTGCATTGGCCCCCAAGTCGAAAAGCTACTTGGACCCAACAACTCTTGTCAATTTTGCTGAGCTTTTTCAGTCTGAAATTGGTGCACTACGCAGTGAAATTGCCACATTTAAATATATGCTCTCAAGAAAAGAAGAAAAACACCGCCCAAGCACACTTCTGCAACTAGAGGCACACTTGGAAAAGCTAAATGAAGCTTTCTTTGAGCTGCACCGGCTTGTATCCATCGCATGCACTTTGCCAGTCTCTTCAGCCGAATGTGAACGCAGCTTCAGCTCTATGCGCCTCATCAAGAGTGATCTGCGCTCACTTATGAAGGACGAGCGTCTAGACAGTCTGATGATGCTAGGTATTCATCGTGCCCGTGGAAGTGCTCTTGACTTGGACTCAGTAGTAGACAGATTTAAGGCTAAGTTCCCGAAGAGTAGAATTGCTCTGTGAAACAATTTTGATTCTTGGACTTGAATTTTCGATATGTAGAAGTGCGTATTCCACCGCTTAGGTCTGTTCCTATAAAGTTACGTTGTGTTCCAGTTTTCCTTAAGTTCAGTTGGTTGCTTT